ACTATATGTTCTATTTTATAATACACCAAAAAGGTGCCTAAAGATAAAATAACATCACTTTTATTTTGCGAATCATGTCTTTTACAATAAAGATAGCAGTGTAAATGATGTAACATTACAAGTAGACACAGCAAGAGGTCAGAGTGCTCAGTGACCGTGGCGGGGGAAGGCACCGCCGAAGGGGGCGAGAAGGGGGGAGGACGGACCCTAGCAAATGACGCCGCGATACCAACATCGCACCTAATGTATGCAAGAGCGAGATGGCAATCTAAAAACACGTACAAGAAGGAACAAAAAATAAACCAGAAATGTAATTAGCTTCTGTACGCATATCGCCATTAGATATATATCTGCTGCGAGGATCAAATTCCACAAAAACAAATTGATGCGCCACAACAGTGATCATAAAATACACGTAATATTATATATTCCATTTAGTTCTTATAAAAAGTTACAAACAGATTTCTAAATTAACGGCCAGAGAAAGAATGGTGATATATTTTTTTACAATTATTTCCCCGTTAAGGATTTATTTTTATCCTAAATGTAGAAAATATGCCATAATAATCTGTGCAGATATTCATTACGTTATACTATAACCAAAAACGATTCTAAATAAAAAACTTAAAAAGGAGAGAGTAGTAAATAAGTTTTTATTAGTAATTGTAATCAATGTATCAATTAAGAATTCAACTTTATGCAAGTAATAACAGTATAAAACTACAGAGAACAGGTTTCGAAGGCTGTATTTGAGTGATTACGCGGACATCTACTCCCAGTCAGGATACGGCTGCTTCCGTCTCAGGTTGGCGAGGCAACTAACCTAACGGTCATTCCCTCAACCAACGGTCATTTTATACAAAAACATTAGTGGTAAAATCAATAGTCTCAAATGTAATTATATCCTTTAACCACAGTAACATGTGGGTATCTCTCTATTTTCGACAGTGAATATGAATGATAAGTCAATTTCTAGAAGCGTCTACACAAAGGTTATTTTTTTAATATCTATAAGTGTAATACATAGAGAAGGATGTTTTAAGAATTGATCTTAAAACTGTAACATAAACAAGTTTATTTTAAATATTGTTCCAGGCACAAAAACTCGTTGAACGCTCTCCTGGTCGGACACTAAACATCTCGTTAAAAATAACTCAGTATATTTTATGTCAATATACGAAATCAGAATAAAAATAAACACATGAGCATCAAAAACATTATAAGTACTTACATAATAAAGGATTTTAATTAAAAGACCGCTCTGAAGCTTATTATTAATGGGAAACCTTAAAAAGTATTATGGTATAAAATGAAGAAAAAGTCTTACTGACTTTTTCTTTTGCCTAATACCGATTTAAAAAAAAACTTTTGGATAAAATGAGGCATATATCCTATTTATACAACTTCGCACGTCAGGGTTTAAAATAGAATAAACCTAAAAGCTATTCTGGCTTCAACACTGGCAATTCGCACACTAGCAATTTCTACACTATTATGTTGGCCCATAAAATGAAAAAAGAAATCGGAGAGGGCTATAACCTCGGTGTATCCTTTATGGCCAAGCGAAGAGATCCTTTATGAACAACATTTATAGCGCCGTTAACATAGCAAACTAATATTTTGCATTTTGCCATTTTTGCACACTAACCTCTATACTTAAATAAATGATTGCCTCAAGCTTTAGAATCACATTTTAGTCTTAATAAAAATGTTATTGAGTTAAAAAAAGACACAGTTAGTTGAAGACTAATGTAGAGATGGAATATATCCAAATGCTCGCATCTATAAAAGTTTATATAGTTAGTGAAATTATCACCAAAATGTTGACTTGCTATTGCCAGATCGAACATGTTCGGCATTGCAGAAAATTGATACAAAAAGTTACGTCTGGTCATGCATAATTCGTCATATAATAACGCAGTATCGAATCGGAGTAAGGAGAAGACAAAAAGGCGCTCATGATTGTGGAATTACAATGAAGCCAAAATGTCGGACAGTTAAATGCATGGAGTATCCATCCTGACAACCAATTATTAATTTTATGTAATCCGTTATTAAACAAATAATATTGCAAATCTATTTGCAACTAAATTACGAATAAATAATTATGTAAACTAAGGCAAAGATAACGAAAGCTTGGTTTATGTTGTTTTTTTTGATTTAGCATTGAAGTCGAGATCTGTTTGAATAGGTTGCTTTCTGATGTATGGGAGTTACTTTAATTATTATATTCGCTATAAATAGAACTCATGTTTAACATATGTACTAAGAAAATTGTTTCAACTCATTTTTAAAATTAAACAACCTTCAGTCGATAAAAGTAGATATGTAAGCGAATGATATTGTAAAAAAAGTATAACAAATAATAACTAAGTAATAAAGGCTGTTTTCTTACGTCAAAACGTATCCTTTGCAATTCCTTTTGAATACAAATTAATGCACCTTTTTATCGTTCTGCCTCATATATCATTTAAGAGTGTTCTCTAAAAACTTTGACCTTCAATTCACATTGAATCAAAAACCAAAATCTTTGTATTCAAGGTTGCTTTCTCAGAACCGTCCAGCCCTATATTAGCATTGGAAAGGAGCGACCACGAATAAAAGGTTTTCGACTCTTCGCTTTTACTTTTTGGGATAACCCGTTTGTAAATTTGGCCGCAATTTTATGACTTGGTTAACTTTTTATTGTTCGGATCGTAAAAAATGATATTGAAACACTTTAATTAAATCTTCAGATTTACTCCGACACTAATATTGTTTATGTATTCAATACCAAAAGATAATCAAATGCAGCATCATACTACCATTATAAATTCGAAAGTGATGATGGATGTTTTTTTCATTCGTGTATCTACAAAACGGCTTGAGGATACTTGATGAAATTGGGCACAGAATATACATAGTCTGAAAGAACATCTAGGCTACTTCTTAAGTTTGTTTAATTCGACCAAAAGCTAGTATGTTTATATATGCAAACTTCAGTATGTTACTAACAATCAGTCCAATTAGAATTAGAATATAGATACGGCTAATTGTGATACCATCTGTATTTACTCCGATATTGAATACATTATCAAATTCAAATATTTCTGTTCTGTTTACTTAAACGATGTCACCTTTTTACGTCTTATGAAATACTCTGTGTCCGTGTTTTATATTATTTTAATATATCCGTGGAATGTCGAAACATATTCACACTTATCTATTTATAATTATTTTTAAGTAACACTTTTATTACGCACTGATTCTTGTATTGACTTCATCGTCAACTACTAAACAAAAACCTTTTCATTGCGTGTCCAAAGAACCATAAAAAGGAAAATAAACCATAAACAATCGACTATTGTTATTTGTTGATAAAAGCTCGAAGAGCCTTAAGGGACGTCGTGCTTTAAAGCACGAAGGCCCAGTGAGTTATTTTATAACATGATAGTTTTGTTATCGGCTTAACATTGGACACTGAGGAGGTCTCTAGCTTGTAATAAATAATTTCTACAGATCAGTGCATTACAAACACAAATGGTAGAGTGTCAATTGTTTAAACTCGTTTTTGCTATTAAAAAATCTAAGATCCGAGTGCTTAAGTTCTACTAGATCAATTATCAATTATATTATAAGAAATAAAATTATGAGGTGATAATAAAATCTGAACGTGGGATGCCGGGAAATCATACGAATATTTACTAAAAACCTGTGGGCAGTACTTTTAAGGTCAGCCTTGCACCCACACTCTCCTTATATGTATCTCGGCTTAGCTTTAACGCGACAAAGTGAATGGCGATACATGACGTAAGTGCGATTAAAAACGATTCCAAAATGTACCTATGGAATATGAAATAAGGTTCAGAATACACTACATAGACAAACGAGTTAAACAGTATTCAAAATTTACAAGTAACTTCGCAACATTCACCTTTGCCTAATCAGGCAAGCGGATTTTAGAACGGCGCTTGTGGGCGACAGTTGTAAGTGAAGGAAAAAGCATATTTTATTATAACACTTTAATATGGTCATCATATTTTTTTCAATCAGGTTAGGTTCAGACCAACCACTTCTAAGGTAATTGTGGTGAAGACAATATTTCTCTGACATGAAAAACAATATTATGAGATTATTGATCGATTGTCAAAATAAACAACATACACAGAAAAGACGACGTGCTAGTAAACAATAACAATAGAACTCCAGTAAGTACGGTCCGTCGTGGATACAGCCACGACGAGTGTTGGAGCACTAACTTCATTTGTAGACATATGTTATGGTTCTAGCTTAAACTGGGAAAATGTTTAATAACGCAAAAAGACGGGATGACTTTCCGCTTACATGAATTAGACCATGCTAGAAACTATAATGTGAATCGATTGGGACCCATTTTGTCTAACATACTAATACCATCTTATCTAAGTATTAAATATCAAGCAAGTGCTAGTTTTAGTTGTGTTATAGAATATTTAGGATTTTTTAATGGCCATATAAAATACAATAATTATGGTGTAAAATGATTATTTTTATAAGACTACTTTCATCAAAATGCAAATTTCCCACTATTTCTTCCGGTTTCTAATACCCCGTTCACATTTGGCCAGTGAAGTTGGACAATGCGACGGCAAGCAACAGTCATTCGCTTACTTCTTAGCGTTCACACTCTGCCAGTTAACTGACGATCCAATCAGAGCACTACTGATCAACTGTACTGACCAAGTGTAAACCGCGCTAACATTTTTTTTCAGGATCATAAAGAGGATCAGGATTTTCAGGATCATAATATCCTTATTGAAGTTGGCGCCAAACATCAAAAAAGGTGCCCAAAACTTTAACTTTCGGGTGGCAGTGTAAAAAAATATTTATGATAAACAAAACGAACTTTGTACGGCTTTATAATACGGTTTGTATTGATAAAAATAAACAAACTATCGCCAAGATAGAACTTTTACAATAGATTCTCCGTTTTTTGTTACGAAACTCTATAAAGACAGTTTTTATCGATAAACCAAAGATAAAGGTGATTTCAGAATTGTGATTGTTTATGCCAATTATCAACGACAAAAGACATTTATTTTGTCTATAGTTAACATGGCGGGTGATGAAAGTGACAGGTGTGTAAATATTAGATTCTTATTATAAAATGTTTATAATTTTCTATTCTTCTTACTATAAATGTATCTATATTTTTAAAGTAAAAATCTCTTTAATTACAAAACAAATGTTGTATAAAACTTACTTAATTTTTTAATAATACATATTTTTGTAGCGATCTGAAACCGTCCAGTGTAGCTATAATTAGAGAAGTATATGACAGTGAAAATGCACATATTAAATTTGAAATGGAATTGGAAAGAGCATTGGAGGCAGGAGTCAGTGTTATTGTTATCGAACCAGAGCCACTCGGAGAAGAGACAGCGAGATGGATATATGTAGGAAATCTTCTTCACAAAGTTTCTGTATACAGTGGACTGTGTAGCATTACCTCAGGTTAGTTTATGACAATGTATCACAAATTTTAGATTCGCTTTAGTATTATAAAAATTGTTAAATAATTGTCTTATTTATTCCCCTATAATTCATTCAAATTAATTATGTCACTTAAGAATTTTTAGTAAACAACATTTTAAAACAATAAAAACATCTTTTTGTACTTCTTACTAATATATTCGGAAGTTAAAGATATCAGATAACATCTTGACCTATGTAACATATTCCAAAGTTACATTATGTAACAGACAAAGTTTTATGGATGATAAGTTGTTAATACAATAAAATGTATTTTTATTTACAGTTGCTTTAAATAAATGTTGTAACAAAGACACATTTAAGATTCTTCTTTGATTTAAACTTAAGTTTTTCTTATAGTCTCACAAAATATAAAATATACTTCTGGAGTCGATAATATATTTTAACATATTCTTACTTCAGGTGTTGTTTGGAGTTCACTGGTGTGCACGCCATTTGGAGTGGTTTCAGTTTTATGTGCTGGTTGTTACACATTGTCGTGGCAATGGGATCCCTGTTGTAAATACCAAGAAGAAAAAGATCGCCGGCATTTGGCAACATTGCCCATGCTGAGTGATCTTACATCTGCATCGCCAGTTGTTCTTGTACGCACAGATAATAAAAGAAAAATATTATTACATAGCACTATATCTGTTAGTGCAGTTGCCATCTGCCTGTGGCGCATATACAACATGTTTAAATAAAATGTGTTAGTTATAATTTGAATGCTTAATATAAGAATCGGTGTTATGCTTTAGCAAAATGAAATTTAATTCTATAATTGAATTCTTATGATTAAAACATTTTAATCACTAAAGTAGATTAAAATATTAGTTGTAGTAAGTTTCTTCTCAGCCTTATGTAGATTGATAGAATTGTTAAAAATTAAATATGTTGTAAAAAAGGGTTACAATTATTGTATTATGTTATTTAATATAGAATTAGATAATTCCTGTACAAAGTAATATTTTTTTAATTCTTAAGGTTGCTTTAGGGAAATGAGTTGTAACTGCATTTTGTTGAAATTACATGATCCATGTTAGCAGTGGTAACATGTTGATTACATGTCACACTGTTAATATGTTTTAAAGTAACATATCTTTTATTTTAGACTTTAGGGAACTAAGGGCCTGTCCCCCCAAATTGTAAATTGTCTGATATCAATCCAACATGTGAAATATGTGATGGAAATATCGGATTTTGTTCCCATATCTGACAGTGACATCATTTTTAAGCTATCTAAACCTCTATCAGTCATTGTTGGGACAGGCCCTGAATGTTTATCAAAGAATAGCTATGACCTTTTTATTAGGATACAAATCTTCAAAATATACTACTAAAGTTACCCATAAATATTATAAAACCAATTATCAGGGATATTTTTGTCAGTGCCTAGAACCTTTTTTACACTTCTTATGAAACAAGTACAGAGCATTACACATGATTTGAAGTTACAAGAGTGGTAAAACAGTTTCTCCTTTTGCTTATAAAAGATCATTATCTGCAACAGAACTATCCTAATTTAGTATACACTCTCTCATCTTTTCAGTAATAGATTTTCTCGAGATTAAGAAAAAAGACTGAATTAAATCAATCTATTTTATTCGAAACATTTTAATAAGCAACAATATGTAAGCAGTGTACCGTGACATGATTTTACATGTTTTATCAGTTTATTCTATTTTGTGCAAGTTTATGATGTGATAAAAATTTAAAGTGAATATATCACTAAGCAATAAAAAGCGATAAGCAGCACTTAAACAAACATTTTAATTTAATTAAGCAATCACAGCCTCTTTTAAAATTCAGCAATTCCATTATTCTCAACAGATGTAGATGTTCTAAAGGTTTTCATCCTTAATTGGCACAATTTCTTCATTTAATGTAAAATAAAAAGTAAAAATTGATTACAATAAAAACCCCAAAAAAACAAAAAGTTTAATAAACATTAACCCATTTATAAATAAAGTACCTTTTCAACGCAAAGTACATTATTTTAACCATCACATAATAAAGAATTAAATGCATGGATTTGCCATTTTTGTCAAACACTGAACAGGAGTTACGTTTTTGCTGCCCTACGTGCAACAAGGTAGAAGTATAAAGAAGGTATAGTACGACGTACAAGTATAGCGAAATGTCCCATAAACTGAGATATGATTAATTCATTATCCTTATTAACTATAGTATCCACAATCCTCTCAGCAACATAGTCTGCAGAAAAACCAGCAGCTGTACTTGAATCCATAACTGAAAATAAATATTTCTACTTTAGACTCTTACATATATTTTTCTTCCAAATTTGAACATCAATTTTCAATTACAATGATCATCATCATTATGCCCAGCTGGCAGCTTATTACACAACATCAATGAAGAACTATGAATACTCTAAGTTTTTGATATTTTCACTTCCAAAATCTTATTAACACATAAATGAGTTAAAGAAAGTTTACATACTAACCTCCATGTGGTTGCCCAGATCCAGTAAGAGCATTAATTGAAACAGCAGTTTTTACATAACCTGGACTTACTACACACACATTGATGTTATGTTGCTTCATTTCCGCCCGTAATGAATCTGCATATGCTTGCATCGCATGCTTTGAGCCTGCATATGCTGAACGTTCTGGTAACCCAATTAATCCTTGCACAGAACTTATGAAAATTATATGGCCACTTTTTCTTTCAACCATTTTAGGTAAAGCAGCTAAAATAAACAAAACACTTGTTAAGACAGTAGGATTTTTAAGAAACAGCAAATTTTAATTTATAAATTAGCCAGCAACTCTTATGGAAGTCTTATTTCTACTGAGTAATAATTGGAATACAACTTACAGTAAATGTAAACTTAATACTGAAAATAGTACCTGATGTTAATCCAACAGACCCTAGATAGTTTACATTCATAATTTTCTTGTACACATCAAGTTTGGTATGCAGTATAGAGCCACGATGGGAGATGCCGCCATTGTTAACTAATATATCAATATGTCCACAAACACTGTGAACTTTATCTACAAAAGCATCCAGTTGGTCTAGGTCTCCTAGGTCTAATTCAATAACTATAGGCTCAATACAGAATCCCTGTGAAAATTAATATACTTAAAATTATTTCTTCTGTTAAAATTTAAATGTCAAGAGTATCCTATTATACTTGCAATTTTTTTTGACATAAGATCTTGCTTTACTCTTTCCAGTTCTGATTTCCTTCTTGATGCCATTACAACTTTACATCCTTGTTCAAAAAATACATGGCAAAGTGCCTCTCCAATGCCAGAGCTTGCACCAGTTATCACAACAACCTATATGGAATAAATGAAATGTTATTTTATTATAACATTGTAAAACCATATCTGATAGGGATTATGTAATTAATAATTATGCTTTACATCATTTTAAGATAATTGGCATTTCTTTCCGATGTTCCCAACTTTTTTATGAATATTAATACTTTGTATGTAAAAAACAAGGATACACACCTTTCCTTGCAAGGTGGCTCTACGTTTCCGTAAAGATAAATTGTTAAATAACTTATACAAAACTATTCCCAAGGATAAGGGAATCCCGAAATATTGGAGATACCAAAGGGCAGATCCTTTGTCTATTAACTTCATTTTTTCGTGGTCAGTAATGATATCAGTAAAAAACGCGAAAAGTAAATTATTTTGTAACTCCCTTTAGAGTTTAAAGGCTATAGAATAACGTATTTTTATTGCATTTGTTGTCCTTGTACATTTATCCATTTGACTTTTGCTTTTGACCAATATTTGACTTTGAACTTGATGTTTTCTTGACAGATGACAGTGGTTGACAGTAAGCATGGACATCAGAGTCACAGTATATGACATCATGTTAGTCAAACCGGTTTTATGGTGTGCAATAAAACGCAATCATAATTTTATTTAAAATTTTCCCCTTAATAATTTAAACCATTAACATTTGAATGTTTTGAAAATTACCTACTAATTTAAACAATATATAAATAAAATCCTAGTTTTTCCATATTCATAAGACCAGATCTGAAATGAATTGTGAACGCCACTGTGTGCTAATTTATTTTTGTATTAAAATAACACAGAGGTTGACATACGAACGCTATTTAGACTATACCTTTTAATCATTTAAGAATTCTTCAAAATTTATTTCACAAAAAATTAAAAAAAAACATTGAACCTGTATAAATCTCTGGCTCGCCAGCGATAAATGTAGTAAAATATGGTTTCAACTGGTAACACTGAGTCACAATTCCTTGATTATCTAAATGTTAGGATTATGTTTGATTTGTCCTGGATATAAATAGTTAACATAATGTTTCTGTGAGTATTTGAAAGTATTAAATAGAAGAAAAAAATTAGATTGTAATGAACAACATTCAGTACTTTCCACTGGGAGTGTCGTCCAGATGCGCTGACCTTCGTTTTGATGCACAACGCACAACAAAGCATCAAACTGACGGGTGCCCTATTTTCACAACAATCTTTGGATTTATTAATTACTTTCGGAAAAATAATTTATGAATTTTAAATGGTATAGTATGTGAAATAAAGCTCAAACAATTTAAGTGCCGCGTTTGTGAATATGAAACTATAATGGATTCGGCGGCTACGCAAACAACTTCTAATGGTGTATGTTACAATACGACAGCCAAGACTTTCTTTTTGACTTCTAGGATATCACTAGTAGTGTTGGAAAAATAAATCAAAATTCCGATCAAAATGAATGAGAGGGATATTCCAAGTGTCCCTATTACAACATTAGCAGGTGTAGCCAGTTTGACAGATTGTAAGTACTTGTAATGATAATTAACAACTAATTTCCTATTGACTTGTAGAATTAACTTAAAAATTCTGCTGGACGTTATTCAAATGTTATTTTTATTGTACTTACGACTACATTTTAATAATACTAAAGATTTTACAACTTGATACTCTCATGTTATGTGCATTTGTATGCAGTGCTGTGCTCAATGAGTAATACTTGAAGTTTTTTGGTGGGAAGCAGTTTAAGTTAAAGCAGTAGAGTTTAATTGTCTACTTTGATATTAACTACTAACTTTGATATAAAATTATTTTATTACTTATACTTTTATACTAACTTATAACTTTTAAACATGGGATAAAAAAGTTGATTTTGGAAAAGAAAGTATGAAGTGTTAGTTTTATTTTTCTGATTGTGTTAGATGTACTAGATTTGATAGATGTAGTGACAAATTATTGTAAAAGGTGGCTTATAGATGGTGGTGAACCATAACACAATTTTGTTTTTCATGTTGTGATTACTAGCTTTCGCCCGCGACTCCGTGCGCGTAGAATTAAAAAAAAAAACAAAAGGGAGTAGCCTATATGTTCGTCCAGACTAGAAGAGGAGAGACTACATCTATATCAAATTTCATCAAAATCTGTTCAGCCGTTTAGGCTACAAACTCTAACAAACATCCATCCATCCATCCATCTATCTATCTATCTATCTAAACTTTCGCATTTATAATATTAGTATGATATCAATGGGTGAAAGGCTATTTGTTTCAATCGCCATTTTACGCGATATGACTCTTATATTCAGAATTTAAAATATGAAATAAATAATGAAGTATGCAGAAATATAGTAATTTTAATCTAGAACGTGTCTGACAATCTTTCAATTGAATTTTTTTTTTGGGATATACATTTATGTTTTTTTTTTTTTAAATGAAGACTTTAAATGGCTCTCATGAACATTTTACCTAATGGCGCTTAAAACAAATAGCCTTTCACCCAACAATATTGTCTTTTTATAAATAAGAGTTTTCAATTAGAATTCATAAATAAGAAAATAGATATTACAATTACATTTTTTATGCTAAGCTAAGCTATCAATATCTTTGATAAAATTAATGTTTTTTGCAGGATTACACTTTTACCCTATTTTTATCAATTCTTTCTTTCACATATACATTTTTAAACTGATTCTGAACATTTTATATCAAAAATAAATTAGAACGAAAACATTACACACTATTATTCAAAGGTTTTTGTAACAGAGCTTATTCATATAATGCCTGATATTAAACATATAAAAATATGCATTTATATTATGAAGGTGTATAGCTGAATTGTCTTAGTTTTACAGAATATTTGTGTTTTTGTAATTAATATTTAAATATCAGTAAGAAATGTATCAGAATCAATAAAATTTATAGCAAAGAGCAAACTCTTATTAAAAAATTAATAAAAACATTTTTTGGTTATTTTACTTTTACTTTTACATTACATTTCAGTGTTACCAGTGCTACCTCTACCTACACCTTTACCATCAACATTGAACAATAAATCTCAGTTGTTTCATCCTAGAGTTGCTGAAGAAGCGGCAATTCTACTTGCAACTAGAGATGACAACTTAGTTTCATTATTATTGCAATCTCTTATGCAAACTTCAGCACAACACATGTAAGTCTGTGCATGTATCTTTCGATTACCTTTTTTTAGGTACAACCTGCTATATCTCGCTATCCAATCTGTCAATATCAAGAAATGTACTGCATTATCTTTGACACTAAGTATGATTTTATTTTTACAGTGATTTAAAAGATGAAAGCATTCCAAATGCGGTTAGTCCTTCTCCACAACAGGATACACCGGAATTATTAAAAGCAATCCTTAATGTTAATCCAAATATATTTGATCAACGCAACGAACAAAGAAATCACTGGAGCAATCATTTACATTCATCAAAGTTCAATGGGATGTCACCATCATCTGCATTTAACTACTCATCTCACAGTACAGCACACTCCAGTCCATCCCCTCATGGAGCTGCAGTCCACTCGGGTCCAATCTCAAATCAGCAATTGCTAGCCACACCCTGTCAGTCATCGCCACATGTCAACATGGGCTCCCCACCCTCTCAAGCACGGCCGGGGCAACAAGTCAATATTACAGCTCAAAATAATGTCTCACCTTCATGGACCAGCACAAATCAATCCAACATCTACACCAGCCCTATAACAAACACACCCTGTACTAATCCTCAAAATGGCGGATTTTATAATAGTCTAGTACAAGACAATAGATTTGGTACCAATTTGAATGAAGACAAAGATCCTCTTTCCATGTCACCAGGAAACCTACAAGATCAACAAAGAGTAATGTTGCAAACTCAGGAAAAGCCATTTGAACAGGGTATGTGCATTATAAATCTAATTTTAAATTATTTCTTTGTATACTTCAATAAACTGTGTTTGCTAAATTTTGTAATGTACATTGAACATTTATTTGTAACTTGACACAAAGTATCCAATAACAATAACAGAATGTACAATAATGAAGTATTAATTTTCAGATGGTAATGTAATGACTGGTCAGTCTCCAGCGCAGGCCAGTGTAGCACCTTCCCCACTGCGCCACGAGCCGCAGGCGCCTCAGCCGTCAATGGGCGCGCCGTACGCCCCACACCAATCCACCACACAAGATAAAATCGAATTGTCCACCAAAACCGCTACCATCATGAATAATAAATATCCTGTTGTCAAAATTGGGCGCCTCTCTGTAAGTATATTGTATTAATTTTGTTTGCTACTATGTATCTCCAAGATCACTTAATGGTATAGAATAGTATAGAAGAATATGTAGGCTACCTAAAGACCTATTTTTTTTTAAATTGTAGGTGGACAAATTAAACCATACATACAAGTTAATACAGATTAAGTCGACATTTTTACTATCTGTGTTTATTTACTCTTCTTTGTTGTTTTGACAGGAGGGAATTTTAAAAAAGCATGATTTCTCAAACAATTCGCGATCAAGAAAAAGTAGTGCAATAGAATCTGATTCCGATGACAATATGCCTTTGAAGGCAAAATCAACTGTCTCTACTCCCACTGTAGATAAAGAAAGAGAGGCAATTGATTTAGCTCGAGAGAGGAACTGGGAAGCCGTGAAGAGAAAACATGAAGAAGCCAGCAAAAAGGAGGAAGCTGAGGCAGCTATTGGTACGAAAATTCTTGACATAAAAAAGTATTACGTAATTTAAAAAATTTCAAACAATTATTAAAAAAAAATGATAAAAAACTTTCCTTGTATGAGTCTATGCTAAAAAAATTTTAATTTTCATTTATACACAAAAATTCAGTATAGTTTATGATGTAGTTATATTTTTAAAATTGTCATATTTTGTTTCAGTTCGACCAAAGCTGCGTAAAGTGGAGAAAAGGCTGGTACCCGTACTGGAAATGTTGTCAGTAGATGAACTAATGGAAACCAATACTTACCAGAGATTTAGCAAATTGATTGATTCTGTGTTTGAAACTATTGATGATGATGTTATTATAACTGATGAAATGGGTAAGAAAGTAATTAACTTTTGAATCTTGAACAGTATTTGTTAACAGTACTTAACCAAATTTGTTGATTTTAGGTTAGTGTTATACACAATTGCTAAATGTAGCTAATTTTTAAAATTCCAGAGGGACCTGAAATTCCAGAAGAATTGTTATTACCGCGTTATCAGCTGCAGGAGTTGTGCTCTGAAGCGGCGAAATTAAAAAATCTTGGTGCTATGGAAGCCATTCCGAGTGATAGACTAGTTCGATTGTTAAGCATATTGGAAAAGAATATTAGAGCTGCTGAGAAAATGTCTTTACTAGGTGATCCCGTAAGTATTACTTTTTTTTCATAAGTTTCTTATGGTTCATAATTCTTGTAATGTATATTTTTAAAATGTATTAATTAAATTAAAGGAAGACAGTGAAGAAATGCGTCAAATTTGGATAGAATCTGCGTTAGAGAGAGTGATGTGCGCGTCTGACGCCTGCCTCAC